CAGGAGTGGTGGCGGGTGACTTCGTTCGAGTGGGGAGCTCTTGCGAATCATCTACCCGCGCGCTAGACAACCAATGGAAAGCAGCGATGAACCGCGCTAAAGATCTAGTTCACACCGCCGACCGAAATTCGTGAATGGCGATTTTGGCACACCATTTGACCTGGACACAAGAATGACAGATCAGCAAAGCGCATTGCAGTTCGGACAACTGCTTTCATGAGAACTCAGGGAAATGACTCGCGTGGGATCAGCCACTACGGGCCAAATCAAGGTCAAGCTAAGGCACAGAAGAGGTCACTCGCCTCTGTTGACACCACAAGGCAGCCTTGAAACGGTACCGTCAGTAACTGATGGTTCAACACTGTGAACACCTGCTCACAGCCACATTTCTGGAAGATAGGTTAGTGCTCCAGCACTACCATAGAAAAGTAATTCGGTGTGTACATCTACTGTGCTAAGGCGTCTGAACTTTGAAACAACATTTGACCTTCCAGAGACCAGACCTGACCTACGGGGAGCGTTTTTCAGTTTGGTGGAAAGCACTGCCAGATCCACAATGCACGGCATTTTGTCAAGAATGCGATTTGCAGATGGAGGGCAACTTTAAGACAGCGGAAACGTCTCCGCCAAAGCGGATGGAGGGGAGGGGGGAGGGAGGTTGCGGAGAAAGTGCAGACCGGCCGTTTTAGACGTGCACAAACGCATGCATGCATGCATGCCAATGCGGTTACTCTTTCAGAAAAGAAGTTAATCGATTTGATCCAGCTCCTTAAGGCTTCTGCGAAGGGCTGCCTAAATACACACAAGGGGAAAGCGCACGTGCAGGAGCATTAAAATTGCACATAGACGCTTGTTTTAAGCGCAATTACACAGACGACGGTCTGATCGTGGGAGTGCACCTTGAGCCACCTACCTCCCATCACAGTGAAATGGCATGCCACGTTTGGCCATTTAAATAAATACATTTTGAAGTAAGTCTGATGAAGGCGCTGCACTTGCAGAGCTAGTTCACGAGAGCCGCAAACAGAAGAAATGCAAGCCAGTGCACCGCTGTCAGATGGCCTACTTCTGCTGCAGTTAACTGTGCGGTGAGTTGCATGGCTTTCCTCGCAACTCGGCCTTATTCGAGCAAAACTAAACTACAGAGCAAGCAGCCACAACTACTCACACTGAGTTCGCATATGTAAGCAAAAAAAACACGCAAACCCAAGGCCGGGTTTGACGACGTACCTTGTGACGCTCGATTTGCTCCTTGTGGAACTCCACCTCGTCCGCGAGGTGCTTCTTCAATTCTTCCAGTTGTTCCTGGTTCTGATAAGGAAATTGGAACACGTGACAGTTTTCGAGAAATGAGTTTGTTAATGAAGGTATGGAAGATTTGTCGGGAATTCGAGAAAACACAGAAATTCAACTGGAAATTTTAGAGGCCTGACACGCGACAACACATCACGGCAAGCAGCAACTATCTACCGGGACTCAGTAGCACATGTGGAGAGGGGTTAGCACAAATATGGAGGGTCTGTCTAGCATGGGCGTACAGGCTCGATCCCAGGTAAATTGGTCGACCGTAGTACGCGGAAATAGATGTTGAGCGAATGTAACAGATTGGCAAATAGACTTACCCTTTAGAAGCTAGTCCGACGAAGTTTGTCTCTGCGTGCTAGGCACACGTGACCTCAATGCACAGTTAATCCTCTCTGTTTACCAAATGTACTTTTACTGTGCTAGTCGTTGCTTTTCTTAATGTACTTATACGTAGCCAGAAAACCAATCAACACTTAGCCCCAGATGAAAAAGCAAATCTGAATGTGATTCACGAAAAATCTTGTGGCAAATAAAAGCTGTAAGGGCAGACTGCAATTAAAGTGGGCGTGGTTCAGTGTGTGTCAACTTGACAGAAAACGCAGGTCTGAGTGAGCTAGAACCTTGAAGGTCAACCAATGGCATAAGCCTGGCATCGACACACGTGAATAAACATACTGTCTGATTTCTGACTGCACTAAAAGCATTCATTTAGCACTACAACGGAGGCTAGGAGAAAGAATTAACAAAAGAAATTCAAGTGGAAAAGTCAGCCAAGCAAACTGAGTACGTGATTTCCCGGGACGAAGTAAACTCTATTTAGCAAGAACTACAGTCGATATCACCGTGCACAATATGGAAATTTAAGAGCTAACATTCCATGATTTTTTTGTAGGAACCACATACCATTGCACACACGAACAAGGTACCATAATGGTATTTACAATAACGGCCGAAACCCACACATACTTTGGTAATAGTGTGCAAATGGTTTTTATCGGTTTACAGCGTGAGTTGTGAAGGAGTCAGAC